ATAAGGATTAGGTAAATTTGAGCGTTGAAGTAATGTTTGAAGTATTTAAGCTCTTTAATCAAGCTCAAGTGTGGTATATATCAATTAGTGTCAGTGCCATGTTCACTTATGGCTACCGAGGTACTATCTACTTCTTTTAGTGAACAATGAGTTTCATCATTGGGTTCGATATAAGATAGGATAGTTCTAGGCTTGGGTAGGTTGGAAACTTGAGTAGGAGCTTTTATTTGGCCTATGTTTGTACAAGCACTGGATGTGATTAATAAATGACTGTGCACTAGACTGTGTCTGTTTTCTTTCCGAGAGGGGGCCGACACTAGTGGTACGGTTGAGGAGATTTAACATCCCCACCAGTTGTTTGTTCAGCGCTGACTTTTCATTGATAGAGTTAATGGTTGCAGTTATGGAACTAGAGAAACGCTTGTGCAAGACAGACTATATATAACGAATCACGCTGGAATGTAGCGCAGGCATTGAACGTACCGATTGTATGTACAAGACGGCTCTTCGTTGAGGTATTTATTGACCAACCCAACCTCAGCGTAACTAATGTCAAAATACAGTCGAGACTGTTTGGCTAGCCAGTGGTAAACCACTGTAACGATGTTACTGAAACGGCATTTCAGTCATCCAGTTCAGTGTTGTTTGGTATAGATACACTAGAGGAAGCCTACAAACGCAAGTGAATTTAATATGAATTTACACTTTTGATAGTACCGCTCTGCACTTCTCTCTCTGCTAGCAAGTTTTAAAGCAGGGACTACTGTCTCTTCACTACTGTCTCCAAATAAACGGAACTAGTTCGAATAAGCAATTAAACTGAACATGTATCCAGTATGCACTGACATCGTCAGTGATAATGATGACCATAAACCGTAGTGAAATAATAGCGGCAGTAGTATTCGTCTGATCATGGTAAGTCGTGAGAGTTAACGCAGTGCTTTCAAACACATAGACCTTTCATTTCTCAAATAGCCAGCGGTGTGTTCGTAGCCCTCTAGTGTGACGCTTAGAAGATCATTGTGAAGTAGTCATATGGGGGGACATAATGTCAAGATTTGACGAATTTCTCGGGGACAGAGCCATTGATGTTCTTCTTTCCGCATCTGGATAGCCAAACAGGAACAAGTTGGGTGATAACTGTACATCTAGTTAGCCAAAAACATTACTCTATCCTTATCCCAGCAGTAGATTAACTCTCATCTGGGGAATGCGATTCGTAAGATGGCTGACTGGAATGCTTTCTTCATACACTTGGAGAAGTGGACATGTAATAGCAATTTTCGGCTTGCATATGCTTCATTTTTCACTTCATGTGGGTAGTCTTGACACTATTCTGGTATAAAAATTCGAAATAACCGGTTATTGATGACCTACAAAGTGGTCACGCTTGTTTATTTGCCTAACTGCACACCCTTTGGAGTGGTGAGCCGCTTGCAGGTACCGTCTTTCAACGGTTTTTTCTCCCCTGAAATACACCGGAAATCTTCCTGAAAATACCTATTTTGTGAATTACCTGCTTGAGAAACCTGATCTTTCTAACCGGTGAGTTAAATTTCAACCAATAATTACACACTAAATCTCCTTATGATGAGTCCAGATGTCCCGAAGTACCACCAAAGCTTCAGGTGCTACATCTGTAGCAGCATCTTCCTAACTCGTTCAAATAAACAAGACCTGTTGGTCTGCCGCGTGATTGCTGTTATGCCAAGTAACCTAAAAGTACTAGGTAAAGTCGGAAACCTTTTATTTTTCTTTTCTTATTCCTTATCAGTCTACTTCTTCCTGTTCTGTTGGGCAGATACCATTGCTATCTTTTATTCGTACTTAAATATAATTTACAATAATTGGTAGTATGGTGTCTGAAACTAGCCTTAAAAAGAGCACTGAGACACCATTTTCTGTAGTGATTAGAGCTTCAGGTAGAGGAGAAAATAACCCTATCTCGTATACCGGTTCCTACAATTCGTGTACATATTCTCTTGCTCTGATAGTATATCTACGCTTACACAGCACGGCACTGAAAGTGAACGGGCAAAACCAAGTGGATACGATACTACATATGTATCCATAGGGAGCCAATATGTCACACAGCGAAACTAATAAGACCTCGAAGGCGTTTTCAGGAAAAGCAGACGAATTCTAGACCTGTATGGCGACTCAGCATCTAGATTCAATTTTTGTGGATAATAGGTGCACTGTCGTAGCCACAAAGGTGCGTCTGAAACACACTGAGTTTATGAGAAATAACTCATACCTATGATTCTGGTACTTGTGCTGACTTTATCAACCAGTCTCATGCAACAATTCATGAGATGACAGAAACAGCATGCCACTTTGTCGCCCTGACACAGTCTCATTCAGTGTTACACCCGAAAACATCAAATCACCAAAACAAATGAAAGACTGCAAACATCATTCTCCAGCCCAGCCGACTAGAAGTATCAACCCAAATAAATCGAAAACACCTAAAGTCACATTCGGTAAGCATTCGACTAGTGAAAACCCCAAAATTATGCAGCGAAGGAGTGAGGAATTGCCAAAGAATCACTTGCATACGTTGGCAAGCATGCCAATGTGACACAGATGAATCAAACGCTCATGCTGTCAAGCGTCACAGACCTTACTAAGGATGACAGGCAGCCGAGGACCTAACCTAAGTCCAAGAAAGCTAGATCAAACTACCATGTCCTGTTTAACGTAACGGCATGCAATAAAGGCCTGTTTGAGCACACGGCATTTTTTGACCAGGAAGAGTGGTCTACTTTGTGCAGTAAATTAAGGCTGGGGACCAGATCATTAAAACTGTTCAGCCTGAACAGGGATGTTTAGGCACCATAAGGCAAGCCACCTCCATTGAGAGTGGCAATGGGCCATGGAAAAGACGCAGAAGAAACATTGCTTTCACAAATACTAGATGTTGATAAGGGCTCTAACATAGGAGTAAAACCTGATGGGCAGTCAGCAAGGAGACAAATTCCGAGGCAGTCACCAGAACTAATGCCCTCTACCTTCACGATCATATACGGGGTTCCGGAGCTAGAAACTGGCGCTGCTTGTGAAAGACATGCATGGTACACACCGATAGGGATGGCTGTCATTTCGGATGGCTCTCAGTGCTTTTGGAGTGGTCTCAATTTTCAGACTGTCTCGTCCTTTTCATCACATATTGATCAGCTCACCAAGGCTACTAGCTGTCAAATTCAGCTCTCATCGGCAGTTAGCTTAAGTGTTTTAACAATGGAAAGTTGGGGGATATAACAGATGCTGCGAAAACTGACCTCGAACCTTAAGGTGGTAGCAGACTGGAGTCCCAACAGGTTCCCATGCCTCAGCGACACTACAGAGGTGCAATATTGAGAATGACAGCCAGTGTCACCCAAGTAACTTAGCTAAATCCAAGGAAAAACGACAACAAGCCGGTTCCATCGGAACCTGCTAGTTAGTCTCAAGATTAAATCTCCTGCCAGCAACCTAGACAATGTCAACTACCCCACAAAACACTGAGGTGGTGAGACTCGCTGTCAAGTGCCTATAAAACAGTGCAGGAGGACAGGTCCATTCAGAAGCCTCCAGTCACACCTACACCTCAAAATAATGATCCTGAATAAAGCCTGGCTAACCCATACTACTGCCAACAGTGAAACCAGTATAAGTGCATGATTCTGGTCAGACGAGACAGGGTTTGACGAGGAAGGAGCGAGTTACTATATACTTTGATAAACAGCTTAGACGCGTACGTACAACGGACTCACCACTTACTGAAGCCCCAGACTCCATATGGTGTCATTCCACCGCAGGCCATACAAATTATTTAGCGGGTGGCACCTGTCAATCACCCACCTCTGGGGCAGAGCACAAACAGCTACTGCTCAGAATATCACAGGGATACGCGACTTGTGCTGTAAGCGAATCACTACAGCTGGAGACTTCAGTGCCTCATCCCTGAACCTTGGTTCGGCGTATGCTCAAGGAAACGTTGGTCGAAATCTGCTAGAAACTACTAGAAACACAGGATTGGCTAAGAATGCTGGAGACGACGCTAGGTGGGATCCTAGTGCAAAGTCGTCAAAACTGGGTTATGTCCTAACTAGTGACCGATTACCAGTTGGAAACGTCCAAATCATGACCCTCATTAGGGAGTAACGACCGTGTAGTAATAGGGTTTGATCTTGTTCTTCGTTAGCGCCTTCAGTGGGACGTTACTCGACTGTACGCTATGACGAAGCTGGCCACGCCGAGATGCTAAGGCTTTTGTCCTATGCAGAATGGCCCATAGACTTGGCTGAATCATCTGTGGATGGTGGTAACAGAGATTGTTCATACAGCAATCTCAGATACCATCCTTTCAGTCACAATACACCTGAAGAAAAAGCTCACCTGGCTGGAAAGAGGCACGCAACGTATTCTGCAAGCGAAGCGGAGTATTTGGCCTACGTGGTGAATCTCCAAGAGTCAGACCGAACATGGTGCATACATGTAACTCAGCGACCAGTGGTCACTCCAGACAAATCTTGCCAAAATCTCTCAGTGAACTCCAAAAGCCTGCTCCGATTCATTTAGGCAAGAGAACCAAACAACCGGAGGCATGCGCCTTAATATGTTTGAACGGTCAGTGTCTCGCTAGTTTATATATAGTGAAGTAGAAAACAAAAATTTTAGCACATGGAATTGCAGTAAAGCTGTTGAAGGAATAGAACGCTTTTGAAAATTAAAAAAAACATTGCTGGTAATTGCATTTACTATTTAGGTATGGTGAATAATAGAAGCATTTCATGATTTATTATAATTGTTCCTCTTGTGTCGTTAAAATTCGCAGCCAGTTGAGTTTTAAATTCCTACTCCATCAGTGTTTCTCATTATACCAATTTGAGATCCAGATGTGCCCCTGTTCTTGTTCTATTTTTCCTGAATGCGGAGAGGGCCTTAGTTTGTTTTAAGTTGCTGAATGGTCAGGACTATTTCGTCTGCGTTATGTGAATTGCCCTAAATTCCGGATTATGGGCGCGCAGCAAACAAAAGAGCGTACAAGGCGTCCAAATCAGCTGAAGAGTGATCAAGACTTACAAATAAACACTTGTAGGTTGTTATGCTTCTCTGTATTGTTTAAGCGAAATATTTGTGACCTCCATTACCTGCATTATATATTTCTACGGAATTTGTTGAGGTTTGCAGTTATTTTCACCCAGCTCACGTTATAAAATTAATTTTCTGGAGCTCTGAATAGCCTAATTATTTAGGCGGACAGTATTTTTCGAGCTGTAAATAGTAGCTGTATAGAACTGACATCTTTCTATAGTGAACTTGTTTTTCACTAATATATATTAGTGGAAAACACATGTGCTTATATGTTACTTGGAAACACTCGTTATTCTTATGGATATGACTTTAGGCTAAAATGAAGTGCAAGAAATGTTGAAAGCGGCTTTTTGGGTGTTTTCTCACATAAGACTGTACTTTGGCAACTCACTAGTATCATAAAATATTTAAAGAGCTCGTCACTTTGCAAATTATACTTGATTGTCCACACCTTAGAATTACTTCATAGTGCATAATTCGGACCCAGAAGTGCTTTTATACTCTTGAGGCCTAGCCAAAAGTACACTTATTTGGTGATATATTTCCTCAAAATCATTTTATTTTCAATCTAGTTATCGACTGTTTCCACTGATGTTCATCTTTCTTTAAGAGTAAATTGACGTCATCGCTATGCAGGTTCCTCAAGGTTGTACACTGCCTTTAAGTCTACCACTTTGTATAACTATATGAGAGCACCGCATTCGTTGTAGGTATGTAAAAATAGACATGTGTTTTCTGTGTTGCACGACGTCGGTCATTGTTGCGAAGTGCCCTGTATTTAGTGCCTTACCATAGCTTCTAATGTTTTCCACTTTCCCTGAAATCTGTTGTGGAACCTTGCTGGAATACCTGTTGGGGGCCTATAAGTAATACATTTCCATTTGCATGTATGCAGCCGTCTTATTCTGCTGTTGTTTCGTGGTACCTTCAAAGAGTTTCGAATTCATATCAGTGGATGGTCTTTTTCGGCAACTTGACACTTACTAATCACTAATAGATTAGTCACTGTTTATAGCCGAAGTTAGAAATTCCAAGTGGTTAAAAAACACATCAGCGATTGCATTGCATGCATTAACACACAACCACACAATAGGGCGAGAGAGGGTTAAAATTCTAAAAAGTAATACAGGTAGGTGAAGACAGAGGTTGATTATTGAATCTTTGTTCGTTGAATCTACACCCAACACGTGCAATAGGAGCAACTCATCACTGGTATCAGAAATATGGAAAATACTACTACCAATCAAGTCAAGCGATGGAAAATAATGGAATTATATAAACGAAGTTGGAAAGTTGTGTGAGTAGTGCCTTGATATGATTATGAGCAGCAGTAAATTGTGCACGAAACGTTATCAGTAAATATTACTGTATAACAACACTGTGAGACTTTATCAAAATAAATTTTACCCACAATGGAATTATACTCTACCACAGTAGACATGTTCTATTTTTATATGTGTGATAATGGTTTGCTTCTCATGAAAACCATTGAACTTGATAAGCGTAGGATAATCATAGTGGATAACAGTTAACTTTTAAAATAACATTTGGGAACCTTTCCGACGTTGACTACATTTTTAAAGGAATATTAAAGTATCGTGTTTTCTGTCGAGAATTTTAGAGCTTGGAGACTGTGTTGGTCGCACTACTTCCTCATATTTTCCCTGTTCACATCAATATTCCTTACATCTTTTCGGTTTCCTAACAATCCATTTAGTGTGAACGTAGTTTTAGCTGAAAACTAGTGTGTTAAATGACTAGTTATGATATTTGATTTGTGATGAACCCGTAAGATGCACTCTTATATAATATGCATAGCTAGATACCACTCATAATTCACGCCATTATTGTTTTTAGGTTTGGATTGTTAAGAAACTATGCACTTGTAAAAAGGGTGAACGTTATATGTACATTTTGTTTAGAAGTTGCAAGGTTATGATTCACGATACATTGGGTTATCAAGCCAAGCTGATTAAGCTCCGGTGATCAAAAATCCGGTTGATTAGTGTAGCTGTGTGGGATGAGACACACATTCAGTGCTCAAACAACTTTTTTTTGTCTGAATAGTTAAATCATAAAACTGTAAACTGTGTTAAAATCTAAGCAGGACTTTACGCATTCGTTAATTTATATCTTTTTATTTCCAGTTACCAAGCGCCTAGTTAGCTTTTCTCATTCTCCAAGAAGGTGCTTATACCTCACTCACAGGCCATTAAATATTCTTTTGAGTAGTTATTTTTTAAGTAGTTCTAGTGTACTGTTTGTATCATAGTAATCTTTTATTATGTTTACAGCTACGTTTCTATTTCAAGACCATGGCTCAGGATCAACCTTAAAGGGCTCCACTTTAGTACAATCATCTAAGACAAATCAATTTAATGACCAGTTGTTGGTCGCTTTGTATGATTTTGTTTCACCCAGTACCCTAGAAGATCAATCACAAACTCGAGTAGAGAAAGGTGAGTTACTGATACTGTTTTTTATGTTTAAGGAAAACTTTGCCTTTATACCAATGTGTACATCGCGGGTAATTTCTATGGAGAAACACAATTGTTGAATGTTGTCTCAATGTGTAATGAATTTTCAGCTCACTCTTCTGGTTAGAGTAGAAAGTTATGTGTAAAGTCACTCACAGATAACATGATGTTTGGAATTTGTATTGGATTCTAAGTTATCTGAAATGTTCAAGTGTTGGTTTGTAGGGATTTGATTGGTTTCAGGATTTTCATCATGAGCTGACATTAGTTAGAGAACCATTATCTGAAATATTTTAAAAAGTGTTTTCAGAAATTCTATTTTTATCCCTACTGACAAATATGGTTAGTTTAGGTACAAGATTGGAGTTGTGCTAGGCCTGTATATTTGTCTGACACTTTCCAACTTTTCACGTAATGGAAGCTAGTGAACTTTTTGTGTTTGAAACAGAAAAAGATTAGTTTTGAGAGGCTACAAGAGCACAAAGACCAATCATATACAATCGGTTTAAAGATATTGGAATTTGTGCTGTATGTATGCCTTAGTGACAGATATGGATTGTTTTGGGGTAAGCTGTAATGTGTCTTTACAAGCTCCTTCAGTCAGAAGAAAAATAGCATAGCTGGGTTGCTTATTGTCCAGGGTAAATGACTTACAGTAGGTGTACTCTTACTGTGGTCGTTGCTTTTAGTCTTACCACTATTCTGATATGGTTGGACTCTAAAAAACAATGACTTCAGATTGTTTAGTTCTTCAGGGCAATGCAGTACGCAGTTCTAGGTAACATCTGTTGATCAAGACAAAGAAGCCAGATGTGTTATGAATTTTCTTGTGTTTTGGCATACAACCTCATGATTTCTGTATTTGTAAGTAACATAGGATTTCGTGCATTGTGAAGTTTTTAAAAGTGAAGTGTTGAGTTTAAAGTTATGTTATCGGCTTATTCTGGGTTTACAGAAACTTGTGGATTCAGGCGACATGCTTTTTAGTAGTTATCAGTAATTGTTGCTCTCGCCTTCAGATCATTTCGTTGCAGACGTAACATACTGGCTGTTATTTGTTTGATGAAATATTCTATCGTGTCTTCATTCGTCATCGTGGTTTTGAAATTATATTTAGTGGATCTTCTATGATCATTGAATGATGAATTGTAAAGCGTGTAGTTTTTCTAATTTAAATGCCTTAATACACTCATTATTTTCAGACTGAGCCTATTTACACCACACTTTTGTTTTCCAGGTTTTTTATGCCCTAGTTTATGCATAATTTGTTCCCGTTGGTGCTTCTTCTCTATTCTTTTGAGTTTATGAAGTAGCTAGATTAGTTAACTTGTTATTCTTCAATTAAGGTTGTTTTTTTAAAGACAACTATAGGCTACACCTGATAGGTCAAATTATTGTATTATTTTATGCTTTATTTGACTGACTACCTCGTTTCAACTACAGGCGGAACGGATGAAGACGTCAAAGTCAGAATCGGAAAGAAAAGATACACCTTCATCAACCTGAAACCAGTTTGGAAATCTCCTGCTTCACTAACCCAGCATAAAGAACAAGATTCGGATTTTCAACTCATATGTGAAGTCAATCAGTCCTTCTATACGGGTCAGAAACTTGGAGTGCGTATCACGAAAAGGATTTCCAACAGGTTGCAAACTTTTATCAACAGCTGCCAACTTCGCTGACTCCATACTGAAAGTCAAATGACCAGAAAGTATAAGTAACAAGAAACTCTTCAGTGGAACAAACCAACCAAGAGCCGTTCGCTCAACAAATATGTAGGTGAAAATGGAGATGGATCGGGCATACATTGAAGAGACCGTTGAACAACATCGCTCGAGTGGAATCCCAATTGGAAGCGACGAGTGGGTGTGACATGGAGGAGATGAGAGATTATGGGCAATCGTGGGGTCAGCTAAAGAGGGCTGCAGAAAATAGGACAAAGTGGAGATGTGCTGTTGAAGCCATATGTTCCACTCGGAACTCAAGGGAACAATAATAATAATATTATAATAATACATCCTGTTATTGGGACAGAAATTACACTTTTTTTATTTAGCTGTAGTAATTTTTTCTTATGATAAGTTGAAGGTATCTATTTTGTTAACTACTCTTCTTTTGTATTTGGCGTCGAAAGTTAAAAAAAAGTCTATATTTATCTCGCTCTTGAGCTATTTGACTTATCTTTTATGTGTTTATTTTTTGGTGGTACTATAAGTTATGGTACAGCTTCTTGCATCATTCATCGTATGATGTATTATTTTCTTCATTGACCATTCTTTTCTTTTTTTTTCTTATAATACATTTTACTGTAGGTGATCATTTACACCTGTTTGGTTATAGTGCCGACGGTGATTGGGCTGATGTCGAATGTCTACGAACTAATGAACGTGTTTGGATTCCAACAAATTATACTAGTCGTATGCCTAGTCATCCTAGTGATCCATTTATTAATTTAAATACTGGATCAACCACATCTGCTGGAGGTTCAATCACTTTTCAACAAAAAAATAATCATGATATAAGCTGTAATGGTGGCGGCGGTGGTGCTGGTTGTGGTAGTCAAGGCAGTTTAGCTGGAGTCGGCTTAGAATTAGAAAAATGGTATCATGGAGCTATTCAGCGGAGTTATGCAGAATATTTACTCAATAGTGGAATTACTGGCAGTTTTCTTGTCCGTGAATCAGAAAGTCATCCTGGTCAACTGACTATCAGTTTACGTTATGAGGGGCAGATATGGCATTATCGTATTCATCGTGATGAAGCCAATCTAGTAAGTCGTCTTGCTTTCATCTATTTATTTATTATTCTTTTTAAAAACTTATACACTTGTCATCATAAAATTACTTTAAATAATCCCAGTGTATGTGTGTGCGTGTGTGTGGTTATCTATGGCCTGGATATTCGTTATCAGTAGGATTCTTTAATCATTCTTTTATTTCCGTGGAAAGTGGGTAAAACTACTTTGGTTGGACACTAGTAACTATTTATGATTTGTCTAGTCACACTAGTTACTAGTGTCCAATGATAAAATCCAGGAGGTCAATACCCGCTCAGTGGTAGCGTGTCTGACCGACTGCAGGCGTCACTGGGTGATGCGGGATCGAATCTCAGAAGAGACATGAATTCCTTCAAGTTTGCGGATACGCCTTGCTGACTGACGAGTGCCAACTAGGACAAAACCCAGATCGAGCCAGGCTTCCCGTGACCGATTGCCTCCAACCATCTAATATCATCAATGGGTAGTATGTCACACAAAAATCTTTAGTCTCTTGCCCCCCCTACCGCTCCTAAATAGTGATTAAAAGTTTGTTGTGGCTTTTACTATATGTAGGTTAACTCGTGTGTAATTTATTACTAATTTATATATGAATATTTGAATCATTTAAGTCCTTAAGTATCTCTTCAGTTGAAAAATCTTTACAGCGACTGCTTCAGCTATGCTTAGCAACTGAAGACGTACCAACCTACCTAGGGAGTTGATGTGGCATTCTGTATAGAATTGTAAAAACGGAGTTTTTTCTTGTCAATCTTGTGCCCCAAGTCCACTAGGTGTGCGAGTATGGAACTTTAGATTGACCTGAATGGATAACAGTCGAGGTGATCAAGGATAAATTCATTTAGGTGTTTATATAATCTAGGCAACGGTGAGTGTATAGATAGAATGTGCACACTAGTAGGGGTAGAGAGGAAAATATCTATTGTCTCACAGCGATCAGATCATATAATAATAATTATAAATTGTGATATTGATAATATGGTTAGCATTACAAATAAGATAAAATAGAGATATAATAAGATAATATTTACAGATATCCGGTGTTACCAGGAGAGAGAACTATTTCAGGTTGGCGACGAAGGCCAAAGGAGGGAGAGAAGTTGAACAAACTTTTTCTGAACACAAAGATTGGGTTGAAAAGTCTCTACGGCAACTGCCTCAACTATGTGTTTATGGATCGAAGAAGTACCAACCTAGAGAGTTGAGTTGGCACTCTGTATAGAGTTGTGAAAGCTGAATATTTGTCACTCTTGTGCTCCCTATCCACTAGGTGTACCAGTGTGGAACTTCTGATCGACTTTACGATTCCTTTACCTAAGTAATCACGCTGTACAATGCACTAGAAGGCGACGGTGGGTTTGCCGAGTCGTTCTACCTATGTAACTGTCTCCACATGAACAGTTACATTTATAAATGCACATTGAAGTGGTCAGACTCGGTAGCTTATTTTTCACATGCGTTAGAATTATACTATGAATGTCGAATTTTGAGCACAATTTTGTGGCAAAGAATGTTTTAGCTATTATTTTTCGGAGTTTCGATGCCAGTAATTCACTTGCTGCGTCTCCTTTAAACGGTAAAGTCATGTATATGCGTTTCTTCTGCACAGTTTGCCGGCATTTCTTTCTATCTGTTCTCCTCATAGAGACTTTAACAAATTTTTTTTGGGTTCCGTTCTCGTATAAAAAGTTTTCTATTTTCCCTATTTCATCTGTTAGAGTGTCGGTTGTGCAGATTTTTCTAGCATGATACATCAAGGTACATTTTATTTGTAAGCAAGAGGAAAAAACGACTTATACCGGGTGCCTAACAAATTACCAAAATCGTTGAAGCACCGCATGCTGCAAACAGCAGAGGCTATTGCAATTCGCCTCAAACAACTAGTGCTCTGTGTTCGAAAGAAACAAGTCCAGCCCCTACTACTACCCTAGCCCTCAGTAGAAACTATAAACTCATGAATTTGTAGTATTATCTTTCCTAATTCTTCTGACATTCAGCTTATTTTATGTTGATGCTATTGAGCTGTAATCTATCAATATTATTGATTTGATGTTATTTAAACAACATTAATGTTGTTAATAACACTAATTCATTCATTCATTATAATGTATATATAAATGTAGAACCTGATGATGAATTTATCGAAAAGAGTACTCTTTGTTCCGTGTCCATTCTTTTGTAAATTTTAATGGGCATTTGTAATCAGTTAAAATGGATGTTTTGGCCAACCCATGAATTCTCCCAAAAAATACCCCTCTAAATACTGCCATTTTGCCTTCTTGTTAGCTGGACATCAAGAAACGATAAGGTGTTGTCTTTCTCCTTTTCATATATGAACTCACTTTGTGGTTGAACGTTTGGTGAAAAATCTCAGTATCTATTTTATTATCATGCAAGATGAAAGTATCGTTCATATATCTACAGTAGAACGAGAGTTCGTTGATTACATTCCATTTGTTGATGAAATTATTCGACAATAATTTGATTTTCATGTAATAGAAAAGTAGGTATTTAGAGTTGAAGCGGAAAACTTGGATGCAGCCTTTCTGTTTTCGTAATAAGAGGGCATTGTGTTTGACCAACTTATCCTTTAGGCTTAGGTGCTGACAATGTCTTAAGTTATCTTCAGTCAACCAGCCGTTTTCTAAAGCTCACTCAGTATTACGTTAGAGCTGATAAGGTAAATAGCTGATTCGAGTCCTGTTGTTCCATCGTCACCCCATTATTATTTAAATAATATTTCTGGTTTTGATCGTACTCTTCTTTTTTTTTCAAAATTATTTTCAACCAGTACTACGTAATAGAATCAAACAAGTTTACCTCAGTTTCTGATCTTGTCCGTCACCATGAGAAACACTCAGATGGTTTGGCCTGTACATTATTATATCCAGCACCAAAAAGAGATAGAACAAGTTCAGAGTTACGTATGGATCCTGGATTCGATGTGCGTGAAATAGATCGAACTGAAATAGTGATGAAACACAAATTAGGTTGGTTTAATGTATATTTTTGTTTTTTATGCATACGCTTGATTTATTTTATTTTGATTAATCCCTGAACTGTGCGTCGCTGGCACAGCGATACGGATGCTCGCCGACCACCCATGTGATCCTGGGTTCGGTCCCTGGCAGACGCACTCCTTTACCTCGCTAAGCCAGTAATAAGACTGGTAAAGAGGGAAGGTTGGACACATGAGGCCAGCAGCAACCCCATCCCGTAAAAATAAACAAACACCACTGCTACCGAGACTTCAAGCCGCTAGCTTGAAGCCACCATATGTTCCACTGGGACGTAAAGGAATAAAAATAAAAAAAATCCCTGAACTGGTGTTTGCTTACTTGACATAATAATCGCTTTATTCCAAACAATAATAGTAATTATGCAGAATGGAATTTTCAGCGTTTGTTTTTACATATTGCAATTGTTTAGCTCCTTTTACAAATAAATGTAAATATATAAAATTTAAAGTAGTAATAATAATAGTATTATTAATAAAACCATTATAAACAGAATGTTAATTGAAACATAATGAGGTATAAGTAGATAATGGGCGTAATAGTAATCTTTGCTTATACTTTTCAGTTCAGTCGCTGATTTAAAAAGTTCGTAAGTTCTTTTCTGACATCTGGCTTGCTCTTCACACACACAACTACCCGTGCTAAGTATGGTGGTATGGTAAAATTTTTATAAATTCTTATGAAGATCCTTCTTGTTTTACCTGCCGAAGATATACAAGGCAAACGGTTGAGAATCACAGAGAGGATGTTCGGTATCGGACAAGATGACTTTAGCCAAATGACTCCTTGCAAGAATTGAAGTGCCTATTGACAATGATGTCAATTATCTGAGTCAAGGACACTTGCACCAGTAACCCTAATTACAACCTTCAGTGTTCTACGTAATATGATTTATGTCTTTTATGAGAAGTAAGGGGAAGAATAAGGGCGAACAGTAAAGAAGGGGAATGGGTAGAATGCATGAATTATTATCTTTGCTGTGGGTCAATTTTTGACTAGCGTTATGTGTTCGAACGAAACACTGTAATAGGCGTGAACTCTTAAGTAGAATCGGATATCCGGTGAAATTTTTGAATAATTATGGGTACCCAGCAAGATTCATTGACAGAAATATCAAACCAAGAATTTGGAGGAATGAAACTTCACTTACGTCGGAAAAGAAACTCTACACGAACTTGGATTTCAAGGGAGATTTAGCAAGAGATATTATCAAGAGAAGGATCACATCATATCTGAGAAGGACACTCTTCGCATCAACGCTAAGAATAGTGTTCTCCAGTCGCCCACTGAACTGCAGAAGCCTTAAGGACAAGATCCCCTATCTGACCACTTTTGTGTGCATATATCAGTTCACCTGCCGCTGTGGAGCCAGGTGCATCGGTCGTTCGACGCACATCCCGCCCAAGAGGATTTAAGAACACTGTCCAGCATGGTTGCAAAAAGGTAATATTGGTGCTATAAGGACTGCGATAATTGAATACCTAGTTAACAGTGATCATCTCATCTCAACAAACGCCTCTTCCTTCAAAGTAATCTACATAGTCAGGAATAACCTGTCAAAGGCCATACAGTTTTGTCTTCTTTCCGATTGTACAGCTAGGAAAGTGAATTCGCCGGAAAGAGACTCTTCGCTGAACTATGTGTTTTGTTTTCATTAAATATGGATTTAACAAGTACAAAATCCAGAATGTCTATACGTATATGCAAATTATTAAATTGCTGGAATTCATTCTATATGATTCTTTTACTAACAGTCATAGTATAGAGAGCAGATTTATTCCGTAAGGTACACCAGATAGCTGAAGTTGGTGTTCTGGTTCAACATCATTTGTGGAGAGGACAAGTATTTCGCTAAAATGTCACTGGTATTAGTGTGTATTTTAACCTCATTCTTCTTCTGTAAACAACTTTATCTTGCTTCTTAGTTATTGATTAACATTAGTAGAAACAATAAGTTGTGTTTCAGAAGTTTAATCATGGCTTTTTTTTACTAAGGTTTTGTCGTACTGCGTTTTGTGTTGTATAGCAACTCAATCGCTTTACGTTGTTTGACGGATTAATGAACTGGTGAATAATGTAAATTACTTCACAGTATAATAGGGTGAGCAATATTGAGGTTAGGCATCGATGATCGAGTGTTAGGTTGGTGAGAAGGACAATCAATCGACGAGGTGGTTTTGAAGCTACTACTACATCGATTGAGGGAGAGAGAGATGGTTAGCACATGTGTGTTACGCATACCACCCTTGCAATCGATCGCCTTCCTCGATGATGGGCAATGTTAATTAGCTGACTGACATAGGATAGATCAGGTTGGAAATGAGTTAGCTTGTGGTGGTCAAGCCAAAACATGGCTTCATCAGTCAGTGAAATCCACAACAGTTAGTTTAAGCCGGTCAGCCAGTCACGTCAGGAGCCAACCAGACTGCTTGGCTGGCTGGTTGAAGTCCTCGGGAGGATAAAAACCAATGACGGTTGGAGACGATTGGTGATATGGCTCAAAATCGTCGTTGTCAAATGGCTGATGGAGACGCATTCACTCTTGTAATTTATCATATCCAATAAAACTCTATTGGATTACTCTTCTCTTCTTTTTCCCTCATATTTCTACTTGTTATCTGTCTTCTGAACCTCTCTTTACTCTCTTGTCTTGCTTTGTATGCTACAATGAGGGAGTGTGACAACTCGAACTGCTGCACATCTGTGCAAAGTTCTATGTTGAAACCAGTCAGTTAGTAAATTACTTCATGACTGACGTATGTACACAACAAGACTTTTATACAGTTATGTGATATACCCTTGAAAATTTCTAGAAGAAATAAATGGTTTAGAAGTCAATTCAGTTGACGTGGAATGTAAACACGTCGGTGGCACAGCTGTTAGGACTCTCGCCGACCATACACATGGTCTGGGGTTTGATCCCCTGCCGACGCACACCTAATATCTATGGTTGGCCTGGAAATTTGGCCTACCGATATCACATGCTGAAAATTCCATGCCTGTACCAAAAAATACGGTGTGGAATCAAACTGTAATAAAAAAATTGTGCAATGAGCTGGAATCTCCTAAGATTTAATAGTCGACATTTTAATGTTGTTAATTCACCTTTGGCTATATATATATATATATATATATATATATATATATATATATATATATATATACGTTTTTACCGGATGATCACTGATTGATATCGGTTAGAGTTTCCTGTAGTTCTAGTAAGAATTCGTGACCAGTGATGTCCATCCAGTCAATTGTGAGGATAGATTTCTCGCCGATGACATTGGTTGGTGCCGGTCGCGCTAAATCACGAATTGGTAGAAGTCAGAATTCATACGTCGGCTACTGAGTCGGATGGGTCCCATTGGCTGAATGGTATACAAGCTATCCTGCCTTGTAACCGGGAAGGTCCTGGGTTCGAACCCCCTGTGGTGGGGTCGTACTGCCGATGGGTCCCAAATTAGGACGAAACAGCTGTGCAGTACTTCAGTGCTGGTTTCCAATGGTTCTCTAACTGATATCAAGTCGTTAAAACATATATATATATATATATATAGGTCAAATACTCGCATATTTCACTACACTAATTCTTCTCTCTTTCCTACCTTGTATAATATCGATTTTAGAACTGCATTAAATATTTGTTTCATTATGTTTTCTTTAGATAAGGTAAACTTCCTTGGATCATCAGTGTTTTTGATTATTTGTTTGGTTGTTTGTTTATTCTTCTCCTCCGGGGGGTGGGAGATCAATGTGTGTGTGTATGTGTTTACACTTTCATCTCTTCATTTTCTTTCACCTGTAGAGTAGTGACCTTTTATGTTTATCAGATAATTTCTTTTAATAAAGCAGACAAATTAAAAGGATGCTTTTTATATAGGCTTAGAAGTACAAGGCCAATGACTGACGGCATCCACCTGTTTCAGCTAGAAAATCAACATAAAAATAATTAATGAATGATGGTATAAAAACTTGATTTATTGAAAAGAAGTTTGTAATTATCAACAAATTATTGTTGTTAGTTGTACGCCTCTCTCATCAAATAATATGAGGATATCTTTGATTGTTTCAGTTTGGGAAGGTGGATAGTTCCACGGCAAAGTTAAACTATCATAGTCGAAAATTCAGTGACTTTTTTGAACAACCAATCAGAATTCCGATGCGTAAAAACCCGGCATAATCGTTAAAAAAGATGTATTAAAGACGTTACAAACATGATATTAGACTTTGATTGAACACTAGTAACTAGTGTGATGTGTGTAGTCTTTTCTTTGGTGCAGATTGAATTCTATCAGTCAGGTTTGCAATGTGGCCACCATTCTAGGTAGCTCACCATCACGGTGTACATTGATTTGATGATATTAGATGGTTGGAGGCAATTGGCCACAGGAAGCCTTGCTTGACCTAGCTTCCGTCCTAGTCGGTACTCCCCAGTCACCAAGGCGTATCTGCAACCTTGAAGGAACTCATTTCCCTTTTGAGATTCGAACCCGCGTTACCACCTAACTATTCGGGCTCGCGATTGACCTCCTGTAGGACTGTAGTGGATACTTTCATTGGACACTAGTAACTAGTGTGATGTGTCCAGTCCTTTCTTTGGTGCAGACTGAATTCTATCAGTCAGGTTTGTCCGAATAGCTCAGTGGTGACGTCTTTAGTGCAGCACTGGGTGACGCGGGTTCGAATCTCAGAAGGAATATGAGTTCCTTCAAGGTTGCAGATACGCCCTGCTGACGAGTGCCAACTAGCACGAAACCTACGTCAGGTAAGTTTTCCTGTGGCCGATTGCCTCCAGCCATCATTAGACTGGATAATGGTGTCTGGTGTGTTTTGGAAATATCTCCCAGTTTCTGCAGGGATGATCAACAGAGAAAACATACTCAATGCATGTATTCATTGATGTGGCTAAAAACCATGGTATTTTGCGATCCATTGACATTCCTGATTCTTTCCTTCAATCTTCCGCAGAATCCTTCGATAGAGTTAGTATGCGTGCTTGTGGCTGGATCCATAAAGTCGGCGGAATGGTTGACACGAAAGTGAATATAACTCAAAGATGACAGTCGGTTATGATCCCTCCATTCATCAGTATGTATGATTGTTCCTGGCGATACCAAGTGCTGAATGATTGGAATTAGTGTTCCGGCACTTCTGTTTGTTTGGTATTGTCCCCGCGATACCTTTGCGAATTGAATTGTCGTGTATTCCAAGGATCCACATTTGATTAGGCCTTTTCCTTCCCCTGGTATACTTCCTAATGAGGACAGTTTCATCAATGTGAACGACTACTCCTACTCCTCCAGGACAGTCAGTAATCCCCTGCAACTTCCATAACGCTGTATCTATACAGTGCTGATATGACTGTGCTGTAGAGACTAGGCTATTTCCTGTATCTGCTGCTGTTGGCCTTACAGGTCTTTATAAAATCCAACAGTACATAAGGTATAGGATATCCCTCAACGGCAGTGTAGACTTCGAGAAATAAATACCTAAGGAATAAGTAAATTACTACACTTACCTACACGAACAGATTTTCTCTTATGATATGAACTACATCACATTGCGTCATAACCGGTCAGCGGACATCGCAATGATTTGTTTTAATTAGACAGTCGGATTCCCCTGGTCCGTGCCAGTTCTGAGTTAGCCGTCGCGCGCCAAACAATGGAAGCACAGCCGCTTGACGCAACGCAGAGCAAGTCCACGCACGTTGCTAGCCATACAACACTAGCAGCTGAAACCGCCCACTATCGATAGCGGTCAGAGTTCAGTAACTCCACAACAATGTGCACCGAAGCACACAAAGCAGCAAAGAAACCAGCCTCCAACTGGACCGACACGTATCTGATCTCGGCCTGTCTGACTCGGCCTCCAGAGCCACATCTTCTCCCGAAGTTACGGATCCAATTTGCCGACTTCCCTTACCTACATTGTTCAATTGCCAGAGGCTGTTCACCTTGGAGACCTGCTGCGGATATGGGCACGGCCTGCCACGAAAATTATACTGCCTGGCTCGGATTTTCAAGGGCCGACAGGAGCGTTCCGGACACCACAAGAAGGGTGGTACCTTACGGAGTCTCCGGACAAGCCGATTCCAGGGGTTGGATGCACTGCTAGCAAAGAACTAGGTTGTATTGCTTTAGCGTCATAGTATCTCCACAAACACAACTCTTAGTCACTCCAATTAATCCATTATTAACACACTAGTTAAAATGCTCTATCTTTGTAGAATTCACTAACCAAATCTATAAACATAGGCTTGAATTCTGTTTGGGATGACCTTCGAAAGTGTCCGATGAACCTGATTGGTCCTTCAAGGTCAACCTTGAAAGACCCTGACTGTGGCTATGATACTTCTCCAGTTCCAGTAACGTTTACACAGTCAATGAGTATAGCAGGCAAATGAAGTAGTTGATTACGACACAGCTTACTTCAAGCCTACTCCATTGCAAAGCCTTCAGTATGCCTTCAAAGTATAGATTTGACCTATTCTTATTTAGGTGGATTAGTGTAAAAGATATAGTGTCTGTTATGGAGAAAAAAATTTACTTTTGCTTTAAGATTAAATCTGCTGATTGATTTCGTTGTAGGCGATTATGTGGTGATGTGGTTCATCGGCTTAAGAGGTAAACTTTCAGCCAATCGGTCGCGGATTCGAATCTGACTCCATCTACTTCAGCCTGGACAGTTGAATAGTATCATTATCATAGTGGGAAGCCGTGACCAGGAGGCTACAGCAGCAGGTTGAAGGTGAGGCAGTAACTCATCGAAGATGACATTGAGAAGTGGTCGCGCTATGTCATGAATTGGCAGAAGTTAGAATTCATGGGCTGGCTGGTCATTGGATCGGTGGGTCCCAGTGGCTTAATGGTCTACGAGCTCGCTAGCCTTGGGACCAGAAGGTCCTGGGTTCGAACCCAGTTGGGGTGGGTGCGTACTGATGAAGAGTCCCAAACTAGGCTGACGAAACAGCTGTCTGGCTATCCAGTACTCCCTGTTGGTTTTTCAATGGTTTTCTAACTGATGTCAGCACATGATGAAATCCTCCAACCAATCAAACAAAGTCCCTATAAAAGCAATACTTGAAAAGTATCAATAAACCGTGTAAAATGAGTGTTGCGTACAGCCTGTCATATAAGAAATCTATTCTGTGTATTGGAATTCCAACTAATAAGTCACTATTAAATACCTAGTAGTTTACTCAGTCTTTATTATTGTTATTATTATTCCTGTTTGATAATTAATAGTTGAATGTGTTGTTGTATGGTCCATTGGTTTTGGACATTGGAGTTTCGGTCAGTTTTGATCACTGCTCAATTTGTCTCGATTCAAATAGTCTGATAGAATTTAAAATCCCCGTACATATCAGGCTTGGAAAAAATTGTACCAGTCAAAACTGGGGGTTGACTGACTGTTTTCAACATAGAACAACGTTGCATCGATGTGCAGCAGTTCGAGTCGCCACACTCCATCTAGCACACAAAGCAAGGGAAGAAAGTAAAAAGAAACACAAAATAGTGACAGTAAACAGAGATATGAGACGAAAAGAATAGTAATATCGAAGAACAATATAGTTTTATTGGGTATTATAAGTCACAAGGAGTGGATGCATCGGAGCCATTCATTGAGAACGATTTTGAGCCATATCACCAATTGTCTCCAGCTGTCACTGGTTTTTATCGTCCCGAGGACCCCGGTCAGGAAGTCTACGCCTTCCTACGTGGCTGACTAACGTAAACTAACTTGTGGATTTCATTGACTGATAAAGCCATGCTTTGGTTTGACCACCACTGGCTCTTTTCCAACCTGACACTATGTCAGCTAACATTGTCAGTCGGTCGAGAAAGGCGATGGCTAGGCCAGGCATGCATAACACATGTCCTAACCATCTCAATCGATGTATTTTCACAGCCTCGTCTATTGATTTCTCCTCCTTACCTAGCACTCGACCACCGATGCCTAGCCTCAATATTGCTTACTCTATTATACCACTTCACACGGGAGATAGAACGCAGGCACCTATGATCAAAGACAGCTAGTCTTTTCATGTCCTCCACTCTTGGGAGGGGGAGATTGCATTAACATTGACGCTATGCATTGCAAGTACTACAGCCTGATGAAAGTAAATCCCGGATGATATTCATTTTTGTATACATCTATCATAATTTTACTTTGATTATTAACTGTTGTATCACATATGATAATTTATCTCAATTTATACGGCTGTTCTGAGGTGCGAACATAAGATTGCTCTTAATGGACTTAAAGTTATGAGAGCTGTATAGTTTTCTGTGGATTTCATGTGTTATTCGATAATAATAACAATAAAAGTATTTCACCACTCAAATTAGGTGGTGAGTCTTAGAGAAATAATTATTTTACTCGATTTTTCTTTTTTTTTTCAAATTCTCTCTTAGGGTCAGGACAATATGGTGTAGTTTATGAAGCTATTTGGAAGCCTTATAATGTGCTGGTTGCTGTGAAAACCCTCAAGGTATGTGTTTATTACTTATTTATATATAAGCGTTTAGATTAAATTAGGTAGATCCTTTTGTGTTGTCAACACTATCTTTTTTGTTTTGTCGGTACACAAACGATAAAGTTGAACCGTGACAGCCAAAAACTCTGTGATGACCTTGAACAACCAATCAGATTTCAAACACAAAAACAGTCGCATAATCGTTGAAAAATGCACTAAAAAACCAGTGCAAACATGACGTTACACCATATAGAGTTGTCGCGTGCGTATGTGTTGTAAGAATGTCTCTCAGTTACTACACAGATGATCTATGGGGGAAATCATACCATGCGCGATAGATTTATCTCATGGATGCATTCATCCAGGTGTCTGTGTAGGTCACGGTACTTTGAGATCCATTGATATTTATGACAGTTTTTTTAACCTACTCTTAACTCTAACCATAATCCTAACTTTAACCCTAAATCTTAATCTTAAAAGCCATAACCCTACATAACAGTGTAGATTTCAAGAGGAAGTACCTAGAGAATAAGTGGAATACAGTATCTGCCCTCTCTAAGACCAGAAAGGGGAGAGTTAAACTTTGAGCATCACCAATCGGTGAATGATCTTGAACGCACGAATTACATGAAGTAGGCATTTTTGTTTATGGAAAACATATATTTATGGCAAAAATTCATAAAAATGTTGCATGGGATACCTTTCTCTGACATATGGTAAATACATCTCGCAGTTTAGCATTGGAGTATCAATTGAAAAGTTACACTGCGTTCTATACGTATATTCATCTAAATGACTATAAATGACATCGTTTTGAGATCTATTAATGGCCCTAATCCTGTTTTTTAACCTTCCCCAAAAGTCTTCTATAGAACTGATGTGTGTCCTTGTAATGGGATCCACAAAATCATTAGAATGGTTCACTCTGTGGTGAATATATCCAAGGGATGACAGGGAGTTATAACCTTTCCACTTATCCACGTGTACGATGACACCTTCTCCTTCTAATAACGAAGTAATTTTCTCCATTTTCCATGACACGATATCTCTGCACTACTGATGCCAATGTACTGTTGATATGAGACTATTTTCTCTGTTTTAACAGCTACACCTGTCGCAGGCTGTTTTAAAACCCGGTAACTACAAATATTACCAATTCTGGGTTAAGGACAATTGGGGCCTGGCAAAAAAGTGTTCCTACGAAATATTAGAATCATCAGTTTACCTTCTTTGACATTTGACTCGAGTCAAGCGGAATAAACCCTTCAACTCACGTGGGTGAAACTCATTGGACCATTCAAAGTCATTCACTGACTAGTTCTTGAGGATCAACTTTTGAGCGGCCTTGACTTTGGCCATAATACTTTAACATCACCGTACTAACATATGTTGTCTATGAGAATAGATAGATAGATAGACAGAGACAGATGAAGAGAAATACTTTCACAACATGTCAGCATAATGGGTTACTCTTCAGAACTTGTCTGATGAAGTCGTTATTGTTGTGACTTAGGAGATAAGAACTAAAAAGAAATAGTTGGCGAAAAATCGTTTGGAAAATTTTACATCAAATGGGTAAAAAAGTAGTTTTAGGTTTGTGTGGAAATATGGTCTGTTATATATTATTCAGTTGGCTTTCATCCAGAGGGTCATGGGTTCGAACCCTGTTTGACCTCCCAAGATGTTTCTAGCAAATAAAAATTGAACTGTGATTTGTAGACAAATTTTGTCCTGAATCAACATCAGTTAACGAATCAATAAAGGTCAAAACACACTGGGTTATCTTTTCGTCTTAGTTTTGAGCCCTGCAGAGGTAAAGAATTATAACATCTCAAGGAGTTGAACATAAGATAATCTAGTCACTAGGTGAGCGTGTTCTCTTTGAACCGCATATATATAATTATTGTTCCTTTGGGTTCCGAGTGGAACATAGGGCTTCAACAACACATCTCCACTTTTTCCTATTCTCTGCTGTCCTCTTCAGCTGGCCTCAAAATTGCCCATAGTCTCTCATCTCCTCACACAATCACTCCCAGTCGCTCAACTTGTCGTTTTTCCATCAGGGTTCCACTAGAGCAATGGACTGCGTTGCGCGCGATTTCATTCGATGCTCTCCTCAGTGTGTGTTCCTATCTATCTCCAGTTTCTCCTATATATTTGCTGAACCATAGGTTCTTGGTTAGTTTGTTGCCAGAGTTTCTTGTTGGCCGGTCATTTGATCTACAATACAGAACCAGCGAAGGAGACGGCTGTTGATAAAAGTCTGTAGCCGGCTGTTGGAAGTGCTTTTTAATAACGTGCTGGCCAAGTTTCTGACCAATATTGAAGAACTGGCTTAACATTTGTGTTGAAAATCTGAATTTTGTTCTTCATGTCGAGGAGTACCATACGATTTCCAAACTGGTTTCAGGTTGATGAAGGCGAATCTTGCCTTTCCGATTCTGACTGGCTGGTTTTGACATCTCCCCCTCCGTCCTACCTGTGGCTGAAACAATTCTTCATAGATAAGTGAAGGAAGTAACCTTTTTCATATCTTTGGTTACCTAGGCAGCCTTCTCAGCTACGTACATTGTACGGACATTCCACGTCCCCATTCCTATTTTCGCTTTTATTGAACGAAGACACATCGGTTTGCTGACTGGTTTCCCGAAGGCTCTCTGATTCCAGCGAAGAATAAAATTGTTTTTGTGTTTGTATTTTTAATATTTTTCTTGTGCGTTGAAGTTCCTGTAGCAGTTTGATTGATTTTCTGGGGTAGAGTCGCTAGCCCCACGCCCGTCTAACCCTTCCTCTTTTATATGCCTGGCTTGGGACTGGCTAGAAAACTTACGAGCAGGCCATATTTGGCGTTTTGCTATGCAAACTCTATTACAAAATAGATCGTGTTTAATGGAATTTTAGGATACAACAGTATGCTGCTGCTGTACACGCAAAAATCTTTAAGTCATAGAATTCAACCATTTTTTAATTATTTTATCCAGTTGTACGTTGAATAACATAAGTTATGCTCCTAAATTAACCAGCATCATCTATGGTTTATGAAGCATTTTTATCAGTTGAATGTAATTTTCAATGAATTACTTTCATAAAACATTGATATAAGTATAAAAGTTGGGGACTGTGGTAGAGCATAACTCCGTTATGGATAAGATTTCATTTTGATAAATCACCTAGAGTTACACAGTAATATTAACTGATGACGTTGTGATGTGCTTGAATTGAAATAGAATTTTAATATTATTTATTATCTTCTGATTTGTCCGGGGGTAATAATATCTTCCATAATTCTGGTATTTGCATTGAGTCATTTCTGTTGCATGTGTTGGTTGTCGACTCAATGAACTAGGATTCAGTAATCAATCTCTCTCTCTCCACCTACCTATGCTACTTCTTAGAATCTTAACCGTCTCTCACCCTATTGTGTGGTTGTGTGTTAATGCATGTAGTGCAATTGCTGAGCTTCTTTTTTCTAAATTACTTATCTTCTCGGGGTCAGCCATTCTTACCTTTGCTAAATTCTTATGTTCTGACAATCTGACTACCCCCTACCTACTAGTTTGACCTATATAATTGACCTCACAGTCATTACAGGGTACTTTGTAAATTATATTATTTTGTTTAATTGGGTCCACCGGGTCTTTAAGCCTACACAGTTTGTCTCTGAGTGAGTTTGTAGGTTTGAATGCCACCCTAATTCCTGCTTTATTTAGAATCCTACGTAGGGTCTCAGATGTCCCCTCCTTATATGGTACAACAGTGGATGACTTATATTCTCTCTTATTTATGTTATCACTTCTAGTTCCACAATTATTTTTATTTTTATCTTGTTTTTGGCCTTTACTGATCTTCCTAATGAATTTTATAGGATAGTTATTTAACACCAACGCTTCTTCTATCTGTTTTATTTCATCATTTAGGTCTTTTCTTGTGCTACTTAGTGCTATGGCTCGGTTTGTTAGATACTTAACTAAGCCTACGTTAACAGTTAATGGATGAGACGAATTAAAGCCTAAATATCTATTATTCATAAAACAATCTGTTTCTGCAAAGTCGTCTTTTTTTTCTCACACATAGTTACAATGAATATGATAAGGGGTTTTGTGTTACCCCACCCACAGCCTCATTAACAATAATTTTTTTATTCAAGTAATTTTCATCCTCCTCCTCCTCATTATAACACATTCCTTACTGTGCAAGTATTACAGGTCAAGAGAAGATTGACTGTCTGTCTGGCTGGCTGACTGACTGACTGACCTTTTACAGTAGCATTCAGAAATATTTTGTTTGTTTTTTTCGCCTTTTGAATTGTATGGCTCTATTTGCACATAAGTGTAATGATTTTCTTATTAGTATATTATTATTATTATTGTTTTATTTGTGTATTAGCTGGTTAAATATTTGATCATTGGAAAATAAACAACCTTTATATACATACATATATACGCCATACGTCTCTATGTCTGTCTACCTGTGTGTCATCTGCTGTTTTAGACTTATTGACAAGCGTTTTTGGCATGCGTGTATTAGTATAGTTCGATTTCGTGTTTTAACGGGGTAGATTTCGTCATGGAACACCGACATTAGTCAGGCAAACAGAAAGCATAGGACAACTGTTTCATCCTGCGGTGTGGTACTCTTCAGTAGTACCGCGGGGTGGTTCTCAAAAACGTCCAAGTTAAACTTTAAGCACCAATAACTACCAATGGAGTGTGACCGCACCAATGACCTTGGATCACACTCACTGAGCCAGTTTGTGAAACCTGACAAATAATGTTGTAATCATCAATAAAATATGCTCGTCGAAGTGTTATGTTATCTACTAAATGGGATATCTGGCGAGTTTCAGCTTATGTTTGGGAAAGATTAAGTTACGGTTTAAGCTAAGGACAAGTTAGGGTTAGGTTAACCTAATAAAGGCGACATTAGGGTTGGTTCGAGTTAGATTACAGTTAGTTTAGGGATATTTTCACGTTAGGGTTAGGTTCAGGAAAGATTAGGGTTTTTTCATTGGACACTAGTAACTAGTGTGACGTGTCTAGTCCTTTCTTTGGTGCAGACTGAATTCTATCAGTCAGTTTTGCAATGTGGCCACCATTAGGGTTATTGTTAGGGTTAGAAGACCTAAATAATTACATGCATAGAATGTGATTAAATTACTCTGTTGATATAAGAATAGAACTTGTGCACTGTGGTAGAGTATAATTCCATTGTGGGTAAAATTTATTTTGATAAAGTTTCACAGTGTTATACAGTAATATTTACTGATGACCACGTTTCGAGTACAATTTATTGCTCAGTAAATATTACTGTATTACACTATGAGACTTTATCAAAATAAATTATACCCACAATGGAATTATACTCTGTCGATACTCCAACCTAAAACTGAGAGCTATTTTTATCACATGTAACAGCAGGTATCCTCTGTAACACTTTTATACAGTTTTTATGCATTTTTGTCATAAATATATGTTCTGTAGTTGGTTTGTAAGGATTAGTTTTGTTTTTACGAGTTGACCACGGATTGATATCAGTTAGAGAACCATTGAAAACCAGCCACAGGGAGTACTGGACAGCTGTTTCATCCTAGTTTGGAAGTCATCGGCAGTATGCACCCCACTGGGGTTCGAACCCAGGACGACGTTGGTTGGGGTCGCGCTAAATCACGAATTGGTAGAAGTTGGAATTCATGAGCTAGCCAGTGAATCGGGTGAGTCCCAGTGGCTTAATGGTATATGAGCTAGCTTGCCGTGTAACCGGAAGGTCCTGGATTCGAACCTTGTCGGTGAGTGCGTACTGCCGATGATTCCCAAACTAGGCTGTCGAAACAGCTGTCCAGTACTCTGGTACTGGTTTTCAATGATTCTCTAACTGATATCAATCCGTGATCAACTCGTAAAAATAAATATATGTATTCGATGCACAAAAATGCCTCCTTCACGTGATTGGTGCATTCAAGGTCACTCGCTGATTGGTAGTTAGTGGTGCTTAAAGTTTAACTTTACCTCAAAAACTTCAAGTCGCTAGGCGAATATGTTACCATTCAAAGGCTTTGTTGGAATCCTGACTTGTAAATTAGGTCAGTTTTACTGATCAAAATATCTATTTAAAGAGGTTAACAGTACAACTGTAACTTTCTATAGATTTAAAATAATATTCCGTATATTTCAGAGATTTTCGATACACTTAACATTGGATTGTTGAAAAATGAAATGAATAGAATGTTATTACTCAACGACACCTACTTACTACAACTGCATGCATTTTAGAATGAGTAACATCTATTGTTTGAGGCCTAGTGATATACTATGTGTGGCTGCCTAAATCTCGGTCGGTCGGTTTTCGACATAGAACTTTGCACATATGTGCGGCAGTTCAAGTCGCCACACTCCATACAGAACACAAACCAAGAGAAGAAAGTAGGAGAAATGCATACTAGAGACAGTAAACAGAGGTGTGAGACAAAGGAATAGTAATCACGAAGAACAAAACAGTTTCATTGGAAATCATAAGTCACAAGGAGTGGATGCATCTGCACCACTGAGAACGATTTTGAGCCATGTCACCAATTGTTTCCAACCATTGGTTTTTACCGTCCCGAGGACCCCAACCAGTCAGGAAGTCTGCACCTTCCTACGTGGCTTAGACTAACTGTTGTAGATTTCATTGACTGGTGCCATGTTTTCGTTTGACCGCTGCTAGCTATTTTCCAGCCTGACCCTATATCAGCTAACATTGCCCATTGTCGAGGAAGGCGATGACTAGGCATACTTAACGCATGTCCTAACCATCTCAGTCGATGTAATTTCACAGTCTTGTCGACTGATTTCCCCGCCTTACCTAGCACTCGACACCCTAAATCTCGGTAGATGGAGCGGCGGCGAGGGTGGGGGAGTCGGTTCGGACCCATGACCCCACTTGGTTGGAAGTCGAACGCCTAGACCAATAAGTCACAATTCCACTAGATTGTTTGAAGTATCTAAACAGAAGCTAACTGAATTCTTTTATCGCCTCTTGCCTATCATCGTGTTAGAACTTGTCTGTCTAGAATTTACAGAAAGAGTGGGGCTATTGTTTTTCTTCATTTTTCAGGGACAGCTTATACTTACAACCTTAAGTTGTTTTTTTTACCACATGTTACCCTTGTCGCACATGTTCAAAACTGATAAAAAATTTTTAAATTGTCTTCTGTTATCACAAAGCGATTTTCTCCACGGTCAATTAAACGTTCTTTCCTATTTCTTATTTGATTTTGCTTACAGCTTTTTGCAAATTTCCTCAAAGCAATTAAAATAGTAGAACGTTGATTTATTGACTTTGTGATTTCTTTTTGTTATTATTATTATCATCTTTTTTTCAAGAGTTGGTTTGTAAGCATAAGATTTGTTTTTACGAGTTTGACCACGGATTGATATCAGTTAGAGAACCATTGAAAACCAGCCACAGGGAGTACTGGATAGCTGTTTCATCCTAGTTTTTTTTGGAATCATCGGCAGTACTCACTCACCGATGGGGTTCGAATCCAGGACCTTCTGGTTACAAGGCAAACTAGCTCGTATACCATTCAGCCAATGGGACCCAGCCGACTCATTGGCCGACCCATGAATTCTAACTTCTACCAATTCGTGATTTAGCGCGACTGGCACCAACCAATGTCATCGGTGGGACATCCATCCTCACACACTTGACTGGATGGATTGGTGTTGAACTGAATTGATTTGCTTATTTGGACGTATTAACTTTTATATTTTGCAAAATATTGGATTGAATAGGGATGTCGAACTGGTGATAACAGACACACGGTAATCACGAATATCATTTGTCCAACAATGTATACAATAGCTACCTGATCTCTCAGTCCCCTGTTACTTAGGCGAGAAGACACAAGAGGTTAGACGGAGAAGTATATTTACAATTGGAAACAATTATATTAGATGATTGGAGGCAATTGGCAGAAAGCTGTGGACCTAGGTTTCGTCCTACTTGGCACTCGTCAGTCTTCAACAAACAAAGGACTAGACACACTACACTTGTTACTCACTAGTGTCCAATCAAAGTATCCAATTCAATCCTACATGAGGTCAATCGCGAGCCCGAATAGCTGTCAGTGGTAATGTCTCTGACTGTAGGCGGCACTGGGTGGTGGGATATGAGTTCCTTCAAGGCGTTGCAGATAAGCCTTGGTGACTGATGAGTGCCAACTAGGGCGAAAGCTAGGTCCAGCAAGGCTTCTTGTGTCCGATTGCCTCCAACCATCTAATATCAACAGTTGAAAGTGCACCGTAATGACGAGCCACCTAGTGGCATGGTGGCCACATTGCAAACCTGACTGATAGAATTCAGTCTGCACCAAACAAAGGACTAGACACACTACACTAGTTAGTAACTAGTGTTTATATGCATACATATATGTGTATGTGGGGAACAAAGAAAACAAAGAATGTATCCCATGGGCCAGTTGATATAGGCGTGAGATAAGATAACCCATTTGTGAGACAACTGACTGGCTTATTTCCAGACTGGACATTCATCACCACATCAGAACATCCTCATGCGGGTGGTCCCAATACCACTGTGATTATTCTTATTCTGGTTGTGGTTAGCATTGGTGTGGGTAAGTATTTCGTCGTTTGGATCAGTTTCAGGTTGATTTACTAGGATTCGAAAAGAGACATTTTCGAAAGTTTTTTTATAGTGCTATGTGACTCATTGGTCAAGGCGCTTGACTTCCAGTCAAGTGGGTCATGGGTTCGAACCCACCCCCACCCCCGCGCTCTACCTGCCGAGTAATATCACTAGCTCTTACACAATAGATATTGCGCATTCCAAAACCCATGCAGTTGCAGGTAGTTGTCGTTTTCATAGTGAGCTTATTGCATTCTAATAATTTCTTAACAGTATAACCAATTGTATTGTCCCTGTCTACTGTTTTTGCTCTTTGTTTTTTAATTCATTATTCTTTTTTTACAAAGGAAAATGTAACTGTACGTGATGAATTTTTAGAGGAGGCACGCTTGATGAAAAGTTTAAGACATCCAAATCTTGTAACATTATTAGGTGAGTTCTTAACTCTTTTTACCTTACTGTATTATAAACTAGTCATCACAGTGATAATTTGTGCTAGAATTATTATTATTATTCCCGTGAGTTCTGAGGGGGACATATAGGGCGGCTAGCTTCAACAACACATCTCCACTTTGTTCTATTTCCCACTGTCTTCTTCAGCTGATTGACCCAACGATTGCCGCATAATCTCTCATCTCTTCATCCTCGCCATACGATCTCCTCCATTTCACCCTCGGATACACGCCCAACTCGTCGTTTCCGATTGGGATTCCACTCGAGCGATGGCTTGCATTGTGCGTGATGTCATTCGACGGTCTCCTCAGCGGCGTGTGCCCCCCATCCATCTACATTTTCTTCTACAGTGCAAAAATTATTCTCCTCTAATTTTTGTTTCTTGTTCACAGTTATATATTCATTTGATGTGAAGTGTAAGATACGATTGTTTCCACATAACCTGTTACTTCTATCTGAGTTTCGATTAGCGATTACTTGACTGAATGATTTTTCAGCAAAACAGTTGCATACTACTCATTTATTTGCATTATTTAATTTTAGTAGGCATGGTGTAATCTGGTTATTTTTATTCTGTGGGCTGCAATTCTTGTTTTTCTCCAATTACTATATCACCCATCACATTTCATATTGGCATGTATGTATTTAGGGATGTAGTGAAGTGAAATGAAAAGGTATTCCGTAGTATTAGAATTTGTGATAATTTTGCGCATAAACGATATATATATATATGCTAATTGATGATTACTGCATATTTTTCTGCTTTGTTGCCTCTAAGTTTGGTAGTGCTTTGATTGGACACGAGTGAAATAACTAGTATTGTAACATCAGAAGACAAGGGCCAGGCAACAGATCGTTTATTAAGGAAATCAACACATATTTATAGCTTTTCATGTACATTAATATTATAGACTATTGTTAGCAGAAAAACACAGTCTTCTGATTGGTTGTTTCTCACTGAAAGTTAATCTTTCATCTCTTTGTGGCTGTTTCTTGAATGTCAGATCATCTGTATGCTAACTGTATCTGCCTACGCAAAGTCTGATGTGGTTGTTTGTTGAATCAGTCTTAGTTCTTATTTATCTCACGATCAATATTGAGGACGTCTGTCTGGATTCAACATAGAACTTGGCACCGAAGTGCAGCAGTTCGAGTTGCCACCTTCCAAAGAGCACACAAAGGTAGACAAGAAAATGAGTGAAGAGAATCAATAATAGAGTTTTGACAAGTATAAGAGTGAAACAGAATGAGTAGTGGTAGAAAGGAGTATGAAGTTTAAAGAGACTGAATACATCTGCGCCATTGACAACGATTTTGAGCCATGTCACCTATTGTCTCCAGCCATTGATTCTTAGAGTCCCGAGGGCCCCAACCCGGAAGTCTGAATCTCCCTACCTGACTCAGTTTAACTGTCAAGGATTTCATGGACTGATGCCATGTTTTTGTTTGGCCACCACTTACTCTTTTCCAACCCGCACCTATATCAGCTAGTAATGCCCGTCGGGGGACGTAAACATTGACGTAAATTATACCATCTACTAATTTGACTAGCAGCCAGCTCTCATCACAGTATGTCGTGTCTATTTCTTTGTTTGGTGCAAACTGAATTTTATTATTCAATTCATGTCGTGGTGCTTATGCAAACAGTAACGCTCATGTGAATGATACAGGAACTGAACCTGGAACCAATGAAGCATCAAAGACAAAAGATAATCCTTCATCTTCAACGTCATCATCATCATCCACAGCAGCAGTAGATTTGTTGTCACCACAAATTCAGCAAAGTCAAGAAGATGGGCTTCTTATTGAAAATCCCCCTAAATCACCTCCGTGTAAACGTGGAGCTGTAGAATAGATGGAACCGATTTCCTCACTTTTATGATTTATGCCATATATTTGAGAAGTAATTCTTTGAGGCTACACAAGGGGATTCCTAAGTCCAATTGCCTTTTGGTGAATTTCTTGACAAATGTAATCTACTGTTTCCATAAGCTGTACATTAGTGAATAGTGATGATACATCCATGGAAAGTTTAATTATTAGCAAGCCAGGAAGGTATTTTGAGTGATCAAACTAAATTCCAATCTCTTGGTGTTTCCAAAGACCTCAATGTAAGAGCGGAGAAACTAATGTGACCGACTCTCTCAAAAAACTGAACCAAATAGGAGTATTATCATCAGCCACGTCCATGAGTCCATGAAACCAACGGGTACCAGTACTCCACGTCTTTACGGTCTATCCGAAGTGCACAAACCGGGTCTTCTTCTTCACCCTGTTTTAGATATGTATAACTCTCTCTCTATTTCACGGAACAGCGAAGTGGTTAGTGAAGATTCTGGGACCTTTGCACACAGAGAAATCGTGCAACATAGAATTAGTGATGTCTTCGACTTTATTTCATATATTGACAAAGAATAATATTTTTTCAGTTAGAAGCTTGAAGTAAATGTTGGTGAAGAAAGTTTCATCTTACAATAAATAAATAAAAAATAAAAACACTTTCAACTGGTGTGTGTGTACTTTCTGCAAATGTGTGAGTGTGTGTGTGTGCGTGTGTATATAATGTCGATAGTATGTAGTGTGGTGGTAATAAGAGTGTTTAACCTCCTAAAGATATAATTAGGCATTTAACGCTTTTGTGTAACACCCACACATTGAAAGTGTTTCATGTCTATGTGAATAAGTGTAGCAATGATGTTAAATGTAAGTTAAAAAGGTAAAACCATTAGTTGTCGGATGATTAGTAATCTGGTTAGTGGCTTTAGTCATCACAGTGATTCACACAGTCAAACACCCTCTGTGATCATTTTAAGTCCCGCCTTCATAGTGTGGTATGCACTCTAAAATGTGCAAATGACATTATTTTTAGCAGCGGCTACACTTTTTTATCAATTCTTTTAGAAATATATATTTCTTTACAAAATTGGTAAGACAAACCACATTGTAACGGTATTTTTAAGATTTTCGATTTCCTCTTCTGTACAATCTTCATTATAAAGTCGAAAATATTATGCCTTTCGTATTCCTTTTCAGGCAGTCCACTTTACTCATTATTACCCTTATTATATGTGTCAACCTTTTGTAATTTACTACGCTAAGCTTATTATGTCTGTAGTGCTTTATTACAGTTCACAATTAAGCCTCTTTATTTTATCACTACACTTAACCAGTAGGGTACAGCAGGTTGAAGGTGAGGCAGTAACTCATCGAAGAAAATATTGAGAAGTGGTCGCGCTATGTCATGAATTGGCAGAAGTTAGAATTCATTGACTGGCTGGCCATTGAGGGATCGGGTCCCAATGGCTTAGTGATCACCGAGCTCGCCAGCCTTGAAACCAGAAGGTCCTGGGTTCGAACTCTAGCGGTGGGTGCGTACTGTGAAGAGTCCCAAGCTAGGCTGACGAAACAGCTGTCCAGTACTTCCTGCCTGGTGGTTTTCCGATGATCCTCTAACTGATGTCAGCTCATGATGAAATCCTCCAACCAATCAAACAAAGTCCCTACAAAAATCAATACTTGACAGCACTTGATATCTATCAGCACTTGCTTGAACTTACATACGGTGTTCCCTATTTTTTGGCATTTGTTTGTTTGTATGTATTTTTGTGGTAATCGTTTTTCTCGCACGTCGTTAATTACAACTCATCGCCATTCCCAATGAAACTCACATTCTATTGACGATCAATACATTAGTATGTCGCCCTTTTGTCTATTCACACTTTATCTTCTGTTCTGAATGACTGCACATTTTTTATATACGTCCATTTGACAATATTAAATAACGAACACTATCACTCCATATTATACATGTACCCCAATACAGACAGCCTCCGATATAATTTTCACATGCCTTTAATGGCTATTTGTTTTATGATGGATTCATGGATTTATAACTGTGTAGAGCCTGAAAAAGAATTTATCGAAACCACAATTGTGTTCGCTCAAAATCATCTTGTTCGCATTATACTATTGGGATTTTCATTTTTACTAAAACAAACAAAATGACAAGGGATTTAAGAGTAAGAATGATAAGATATTTAAAAATACTAGAGGGAAAGTTAAACTATCGCAACCCTAATCGGTGTGACCTTGAACAACCAATCAGAATTCAGATGCAAAAACAGTTGCATAATCGTTGAAAAGTGCACAAAAAAAGCCCACTGCAGACGTGATGTCACAATGTATAGTTGTCGCCTACGTATGTGTTGTAAGAATTTCTCTCAGTTACTACACAGATGATCCATAGAGAAATCATACCATGCGGGATAGATGTATTCATCCAGGTGACTGTAAGTCATGGTACTTTGAGATCCATTGATATTTATGATACTACCTTTTTTAACCTACTCCTAACCCTAACCATAATTCTAACTCCTAATGTTTACTTTAGCCCTAATCTTAAGCGTAAACCTTAATCTTAAACGCCATAGGTTTGCATGGAACTTTCCTCGAGAATAAGTGGAATACAGTATCTATCCTCTCAGTGTTCAGAAAGGTAGGTACGATCTGATTGGGAATGACCTCACGTAGCTTTCCCTGTATCTGATTGGTTCTTGAAGGTCAACCTTTGAGAGACCTTGACTTCAGCTATGATGCTTTAACTTCGCCACACAACTTTTAATGACATAATCAGGTAAGGATTACCAATTCAAGTTAAGAGTAGTAATAAATTGTTTTTTGTGTGCACAGAGGGAGGGGGGACTTAAGTTTACGGATACATATTACCTATGCATACCACAATAAATGCCTAGGGATTTTTATAAATAACCTTGAAAGACATTTTTATATCCATCTTGTGATTCATATCAATTAATTAATTTTACTATAGACGAATTTGTGCGTCGGTGGCACAGCGGTTAGGACGCTTGCTGAACCATGCACATGGTCCGGGGTTCGATCCCTGGCCGACGCACTCCTTTACCTCTCTAAGCCAGAAATAAAGCTGGTAAAGAGGGAAGGTTGGGTATGAGGCTAACAACCCCATCCTGTAAAAATAAACGCTGCTACAGAAACTTCAAGCTGGCTCTAGCTTGAAGCCCTTATGTTCCACTGGGAACGTGAAGGAATAAAACAAAATAGACGAATTTGTTAGCCTGCCACGTGCGTTTATCAAGGCTTCACAGTTCAATTGTTTTTGGAGTCATTTAGGTATGTGATCTCCCTTACGCGCGCAGTGTGATTTATGTGTGACCATATACATGCGTAAATCGGTAATATAGTACGGTAGGTGACACAATCAATTGTGCATTGTAAAGACTTGTGATAATATACTATTGACTAATAAAAACGGTTGAATACCATTCACACATTGTGTTTTCGTGTGGGCCAGGGTATTGTCACTCGCGCATTTTCTGAATTTCTTAGTCTATTTAAGTGTTTCATTATTATTATTTTATTATTCTTAACTTTTTCCTTTTGTTCTTGTAGTCTGTTATCTTGCTTTATTTTGTCTTTATCGTATGATTAGGCTGTCTAGCAGCTCCAACACATTTGAGGTATTCGTGTAGAGTCGTGTGAGATTGATTCCTTGCTGAAATATCCATTATTCTTGTATGTATTATTCTAACATGTTTACTGTACAAAGTTTGAACTGCCTCAGGTGTACAATCTTTAAATGAAATCGAGTCCTAGTTCTGTACAACAAAGCCATTGAAACTGATGTTACGCATATTTATTAAACTGGGTGTTTGCGTAGTAATTAGAATTTCAGTTGAGTAATTTACAGAATACCTTAAAGTATGAGTTACAGAATATCGGTGGAATCTTTCATGCTGACAGTTTTGTATATTTTTGCATATTTAATATTTACAGTCACTTTATTCCAAACAGAGCGTCGCCTAGTTTTCTAGCTGGTCCCAAGTTAAGAAAAAGGGGAAGGATTAGGCGGCATGGGGCTGGCGATCCTACCCTGGAAAATCAATCAAACTGCTACAGAAACTTCAACGCACTAAAAAATATATTAAAAATACAAAAAATATAAAAAACAATTTTGTTCTTCGCTTGGAATCGGGGAGGCGAAATGACGCGGGCTGGTGAAGGCTTTCGGGAAGCCAGTCAGTCGATGTGTCATCTTTCGATGAAAGCAATAATAAGAATTGGGAAGGCATGGTACACCTTCATCAATCTGATATCGATTGGGATTTTCAATACAAATGCGAAGTCAGTTCTTCTATATTGGTCAGAAACGTGGCCAACACATCACGAAAAGCATTTCCAACAACCAGTTGCAGACTTTTATCAACAGCTGCCTTCGCTCCATAGTGAAGATCAAATGGTCGGCCAGAAAGAATTAGCCACAAGAAACTCTGGAAACAAATCAACCAAGAGCCGATCGCTCAACAAATATATAGAAGAAAGTGGAGATGGATGGGACACACGCTGTGGAGATCATCGAATGGCATTGCGCGCAATGCAGGCCATCTCTCAAGTGGAAGTTGAATGGGAAGTGACGAATGGGTCGTCACTGCGAGGGTGACATGGAAGAGATTGTGTGTTGGGGACGAGTAGATGAGAGATTAATGCCAATCGTGGGGCCAGCCAGCTGAAGAGGACAGCAGAAAATAAAAGAAAGTGGAGATGTGTTGTTGAAGCCCCATGTTCCAATTGGAACCTCAGGGAAAAATAATAATAATATTCTAATCTGAGATGTTTTTTACAAAATGGAGCTTTCAGTATTTGCATATTGCAACAAATTTTCTGTCTTTTTAAAGATTAACACGTTACTCAATATACATTATCATGCACTATGAAATTTCCCCTCAAATTTATGAGGGGATTCGAACCAAGGACCTTCAGGTAACAAGGTAGGCGAGTTCGTAGACCATTCAGCCAGTGGGACCAGATCCAATCGCCCATGAATTCTAACTTCTGCCAATTCCCACTGGCTTGATGATCTCCGAGCTCACTTTGTAACTGGAAGGTCTTGGGTTCGAACCCCGGTGGGTCCGTGTGATGAAGAGTCTCAGATTAGGACGAAACAACTGTCCAGTACTCTCTGTTGGTTTTCCAATGGTTCTCTAACCGATGTCAGCTGATGATGAAATCCTGTAATCTATCAAATCAAATAATAGAGCTTCACACAGACACAACATTCCCTCTCTTCCTGGCTTACTACTGGCTTGATAAACCAGGTGAGGTATAGGAGTGCGTTGACCGAGGATCGAAGTAGGCAAAATAAAACTCCTGATATATTATAAGCATTATTCTAAACAACTTAATTTTAATAAGTCAATGAAATTAATTATTATTAGTAGTTCTAGGGAGTATGTCAAATTATTGTCAAATATCAAACACTGAATTTGTTAGTAGTATCTTCATTTTTTCGTGATTGCAGTAGATTGGATAATGCAACAAACAGCGGGCAATAAGGAAACAGGCATAAAATGGACTCACACAAAAAACTTGGAGGATCTGGACTTCGCCGATGATATATGTCTGATCTCCCACAAACTGGAAGATATGCAAGTGAAAAGCAACAAGTTGGCAGAAGAAGCATCAAAGACAGGACTTCAGGTGAACATAGAGAAAAAAGAGGTGATGAAGATTCCTGGGCAACACCACCACCAACAACGACAGACAACAATCAGCATAATTAGAAGGGACCTGAAAGAGACTACCTCCTTTACCTACCTGGGAAGCATCGTTTCAACTACAGGCGGAACTGACGAGGATATCAAGGCAGCGGGGATCGGGAAAGCAAGGCAAGCTTTCACTACTCTCAAGTCTGTGTGGAGGTCAACAGCATCAGCATAAAAAATAAGATCCGGATTTTCAACTCCAATGTGAAATCAGTGCTACTATACGGATCAGAGACTTGCACTGCGCGTCATGAAGAGCATCTCAAACAAACTACAGACCTTCATTAACAGTTGTCTTCGCTCAATACTCAAGATCAGATGGTCAGCCAGAAAAGATCGGCAACAGAGATCTCTGGGAGCGAACCAACCAGGAACCGATTGTGAAACAAATAGGCAGGAGGAAATGGAGGTGGATTGACTATACTCTGAGGAAACCATCGAGTGACATCACTAGACAAGCCCTCTAGTGGAACCCGAACGGGAAGCATCCAAGGGTGACTTGGAGGAGGTCATGTGAAGAGGAGATGAAAACGTGTGGGCAGACATGGAGCCAGGTGAAGACTCTAGCAGAGAACCGAACGCAATGGAGATGCATGGCTGAAGCCCTATGTTCCTCTAGGAATTAAAGGAAATAATAATCTTCATTTTTTCAAAAGAAATTTCTACACAAGTTTGGATTGACCGAAAATAATCAATCAGTCAGTCATAATTTTGTTTTTCTCCCCCCTCCTATCATCCAGGTGCATGTACACGTGAACCGCCGTATTATATTGTCACTGAATTTATGTGCAATGGTAATCTGTTGGATTATTTACGTACACAACCTAGAACAGAAATGACACCTTCAGTTTTACTGCATATGGCAACACAAGTTGCTAGAGGTATGGCTTATCTGGAACAACACAATTTTATACATCGGTAAGTTTCAGTATATAATTTTGTAGTAAATCTATCTGTTTGTATACTATCACATTGTATATAGTGCATCTTTTATCATATTTATAAATATAGCGAAAATATGTTCATTCACACGTTTAGAAGACAAAAGAAAATTTGAGCAAAGAATATTCTCTTCGATAATTTCCTCTTCCAGCTCTACAATTAGATCTATATTTATATACACAGAATATTCTAGAATAATCGTCATTAACAATATTGGTGTTTTTTTTGTCTAAATACTATCGATTTGTTAAGTTCACGATGGAATTACCACAGTTCAAGAAAGATGCATAAGTTTATAATAATAAGCTTAAAAATGTAATACTCCACTAAATAGAATATCGAATAAAATTCAGGAAATCTCTACAACATAGTGAGTATCATTAAAACCTTGATAGCCGGTTAGCGGGATGAGAAAAGCGTCTGAACCAATTTTTTCCTAATGTACATTCCAACAGCCAGCCTCAGCCAATATGCAATAAACAAACTCTTAGGGTAAAGTTAAGATTACTTGGTATCCGAGGACGACTTTGAAGGCCTTGTTCACATCAATCTTATGTTCTGTATCCACGAGATGAGATAGTATAGAGCTATGCATGGACTTTGTTTGTCCCTTACTTAACCAACCACCATGCAGGATGGTGTTCGAAAATCCAACGATAAACACGCCTAATTGTACAGCCTATACAACTAACTGGCTCACTCCACAGGAGCAGTCAAATTGATCGATGCACATGGAAGAGGCGAAATTAAGCAGTTTATCTTTGACTTCCGAACGTAATGTAGGGGTGCTTTTGAAGAGACAGCGTAATTGTGCAGCACCGAAGGGGTTTTTTACCGCCGTATTCCTTAGACGTTGTGTTAATATCTCACTGATGTTATCCCCGAGGAAATGAAGTTGTAAGAACAATGGCTTTTTCGGAGCTATGAGTACTTTGGTGTGCCTTGACTTTTGATTCATGTTCTTATGGATGAATTTTTCTGGGTAGCCGTTCTCACCCAGCAGCTGTTTAATAATATGAAGCTCTTCATTAAGACATTCATCAGAGTAGACTGCTCTTGCTCTGTGGCGGATCAAGCACTTTCTCAGATTGTGTTTGTATTTCAAAGGTACGAAGATGACGAAATGAGTACACTGACCAGTTTAATGTAGGTTTTTTATATGCACTTCTTCTTATTGTACCGTCCTCTTTTCTAGTGAAAAGGACGTCTAGGAATGAAATACTGGAGTCTCTTTCTTTCTTGACGGTAAAATTTATTGCAGGCTGTTGGGATCTACATTAAGAAACCTAAATTATGTACCCAAAAGAAGTTGGTCAGACACTTTCCTTACCGCTCTGGCCATCAAGGTTTTGATGATCCTCAGTTTGTTGTGGAAATTTCCTTAATATTATTTGATATTCCATTTAATATCGCAATTTTACGCTTATTATTATTATAACTTATGCATCTTTCTTGAACTGCTGTGGTTGCATTGTGATCTTAATAAATCGATAGTATTTAAAAAGCACTAATTATTGTTAATGACGAATATTCTGTGTATATAAACAGGTGCGATTGTAGAACCAGAAGAGAAAATTATCGAAAAGGATATTTTTTGCTTAATTTCTTTTATTTCTCTAAATATTTATAAATTTTGTGAAAATCAACTGAGGATTAAGACATGCCAGAACACAGGAGCGTTTTCGGATGTACGGAATACAAATATAGAGTCTATTCGTCTTGCAATCAGACAGTGGGTATGGAAGATCGGTTCAGGGATTTTAAGATGCTGTTGTGGACATTCTAATTGCATTTCTAAACACCTGCTAAAATTGTCATTGGTTAGAACCGATGGATTAATCCATTCCTCAAGTGGTTTACACTGCGTATATATCTGCATAATTGCTAGTAATCCGTCATACTTTTTCACGCCATCCTAAAATAATACTGACATAGGGTAGTAGTGTAAAACGGTAGAAGACGAGGGACTTGGTAAAGGAATGTTTATATGGAATTTGGTATCTTTGTATGTCGAAATTATGTACACCTTGTCTTCAAATGGGTTCCTATCGGGGAACAGGTCAACACAAATTAAGCTAGTGAAGGATGAAAATAGAAAGTCAATCACCAAAGAGGTGGAGTAAAGGAAACACTGAGCTGAGCACTTCAGAAGACTTCTTAATCGATCACCACTTACAACGCGCCCAATAATACCAACAGTAGAAGCAGAACTACCAGTGGACATCAACTCTCCGACGAAAACAGAAATCCTGGAGGTTATAAAGATGCTAAAGACTGGAATCCCCACAGAACCATTGGAAGTGAACCTAGAGACATCAGCTGACTTGATGACACCACTACTGGAGAAGGTGTGGAAAGTGGGCAAGGTGCCTGCGGATTGGAAGAAAGACTACTGACTAAAACTGTCGTGACAGTATGCTCCTGTGTGTCCCAAGCAAAGTACTAAGTCGTGTCATCCTGGGGAGAATCAAACACGCCCTGGATGAAAAACTTCAACCGGAACAGGCTGGATTCAGGAGGGACAAGTCATGAATCAATCAAATAGCAACACTATGGATCATCATTGAACAGAGCTTAGAATGGAAGTCAGTCAGCTGTCTACCTCAACTTCATCGACTTTGCAAAAGCCTTCGACAGTATCGATCGAGAGGTGATTTGGCGTGTCACGAAGGGGACTTTGAACAAACTACTGACCTTCATTAGTAGTTGTCTTCGCTCAATACTACTCAAGATCAGATGGGCGGCCAGGAAAGATCAGCAACAGGGATCTCTGGGAGTTAACCAACTCAGCAGGAACCAATAATGCAAGAAATATGCGGGAAGAAATGGAGTTGGATTGGCCATTCTCTGAGAAAACAAACCATCAAATCAGTGACATCACACGCCAGTTCATGCAACTCGAACGGGAAGCGGCGAGTTAATTGGTCATCAGTGAGAAGGTGACATGGAGGGGGAGGTAATGTGAAGCATGTGCGCAGACGTTGAGCCAGGTGATGATAATGTTGGCACAGAACCTAACGCAATGTAGATGTGCGTGGCAGAAGCCATATGTTCTTCTAGGAAATAGCGGAGACAATAATAATATCTTCAAATCAATATTTGATACTTCTGCCCTTCCTCCATATTGGTTTTCTTCGTCATCCTTTTCACATCTCCCATGTTACTCCGCAACGCTGAATCATTTGCTTTCTCTGACTGACTTCAAATCTATCTCCCTGCTATTTGATATTTTTATGCCGATGAACATCTCTTTATATACTACTGATAAATCTTATTACAGTAGCACACACCACAGTAGTAATAACAAAGAATGATGAATGGAGTTTATGGAGTAACATTGTTATTGGATTCAACGAGACTGGTATAGAATTTCATTGGGGCTGTTGTGTATACAAGAATGTATGTGCACGACGGATACCATTAAAATTACAGTGTATAAGACGTCTTACTATATATAATCTACTGTAATTCAGTATATATATTCAGACACTAAATTTTTAAATATTTATTCCAGCTGTTGGTATCTTACCTGGTTGTAAAAAAGAAAACCTAATTTCACATTGTATTCTCTTAAAATAGTGATTTAGCAGCACGTAATTGCCTTGTCGGTAGACAGCATACAATCAAAGTTGCAGATTTTGGCCTGGCTCGTTGTATAGAACGTGATTTAACCTATAGAGCACATGAAGGAGCTAAATTCCCGATTAAATGGACTGCACCAGAAGGTTTAGTTTATAATATATTTTCAACTAAATCTGATGTATGGGCATTTGGTGTACTGTTATGGGAGATTGCAACATATGGTAAAACACCATATCCAGGTGTTGAATTACAAGATGTATATGTATTATTAGAAAGAGGTACACGAATGCTTCGTCCCGAGGGTTGTCCTGAGCAAGTCTATGAACTTATGTTACAATGTAAGTTAATTTGTTTTGGTATATGTAATAATTTTGAGTTTGAGTAGTTTTATTCGTTGAATTGATTATGTGATATTTGTTGTTATGACCGGAATTATGACCTAGTAGACTGTGAGTGAATACTAACTTTAATGCGCTGGCTAATCTGCCCTAACCGCACGTCAACAACAACAATAATACTGTCGGGCCGCAAAAATAAAAGAGAAGACTGGACGTTGGTAAGAGAAGTTTTTACTGTGTCACAGCAACAGTTGAGAAGAAAGTTGACAGAGCTTATATATATATATATATGTTAAAAATGACCTTGAGAAGCATTAACGTCATTAGTGAATTAAGACAGTGAACAACCAATAAGATTCCAAAGGTGATAGGTACGGTGAGAGAAAGTCAGGTTTTAAATCAATAAGTGGCGTGAGAAAAGTACAAACAGACATGTAGCATGTTAAGTCGCGATCAATAAATCAGGTGAGAGAAATACAAACAGACATGTAGAAATGACATGTAGGAAATTAGGACTATGTATATCAGTTGTGCATGCGATTGGCTGACGAAATAGAGCTCTGCAAAGATGTGTAGCACTTCCACTTGCCACACTCCCTCCATGTACCACACAAAGCAAGAGAAGACAGTAAAGAGAGATAATAAACACAAATGTGAGGGAAAGAGAATAGTTATATGGAAGAACAATAGAGTTTCATTGAATTTGATACATCACAAGGAGTCAGTGCATCTGCGACAGTCATTGACAACGAATTCGAGACGTATCAACAATTGTCTCCAACTGTCATTGATTCTCATCATCCCGATGAACCCAACCAGCCAGTCAGGCAGTCTACAACTCCTACGTGACTGGCTGGCTTAAAATAACTGTTGTGGATTTCATTGACTGAATAGACCGTGTTTCGGTTTGACCACAATGTAACAGCTCTTTTCCAACCTCATCTATCCTATGTTACTCGGCTAACATTGTCCGTCGGTCGAGGAAGGCGATGGATGGCTAGTCATGCATGCGTAACACATGTGCTAACCATCTCTCTTAATCGATGTAGTAGTAGCTTCACAACCACCTCGTCGATTGATTTCCCCTCCCACCTACCTAGCACTCGACCACCGATGCCTCACCTCAATATTGTTTACCCTATTATACCACCACCACCAGACAACACAAATAGGAGATAGAACGCAAACAACTATGATCAAAGACAGCTAGCCAGCCAATCAGGCTAGCACAATGTAGCACTCAAAAGCAGAAAATAAGGGATTCACGAGGAGACGGAGGACTTTGTGTATCTGGATGATTACAAAGCGCGACCATTGAGAGAAGGATTTTGAACCATATCACCAATAGTCTCCAGCCACTGATTTTCAGCATCCCTAGAACCCGAACCAGTAGTCAGCCTACACCTCTTCACATGACTCAAACCAACTGTCAAGGTCTTCATGAACTGGTGACAGGTTTTAGTTTTGCCACCACCTATAATTCTTTTCCAACCTCATAGACTGTGTCAACTGACATTGTCCGTCCAGGAAGGCGATAGTTTGACATGCGCAACACGTGTCCTAGCCACCTCATTCGATTCACCATCTTCATTACCTCATCACAATTGGCTTACTCTCTGACGACGTGATATACTGAGGAGACTGGTTATTCCTTCCACCTTTTGATATTAACTAACTATCCACCATTTTCGATTAGTTTTTTTCTTGTAAACGTTTCACTGGTATCAAGATAAATAAAATATAAAACATAAAGACATGGATACTTTTTTCCTATTTGAGAAGAAGGAAAAATATAGGATTATTTTGTTTATACGTTGCAATTTGTGTACTTTTTATTACTATATGTAATCTAAATGTTCATCGCACTGGTGACAGTGTTTTTAGCAATCTGTTGTAAATGAATATGTTTTCAAGAGTTGAATTGTAGGCATTTGATTTGTTTTTTCCAAGTTTGGCCATGGATTGATATCAGTTAGAGAACTATTGGAAACCAGCAAGGAGTACCTGACAGCCAGCTGTTTCGTCCTTGTCTGGGACTCTTGGTAGTACTCATCCACTGACAGGGTTCGAACCCAGGACCTTCCGGTTACTTAAAAATTAATCTGATGCACGCTAGTGACTGGTTACAGGATGGAGTTTCCTGGAGTTCTAGTGAAAAGTCGTGACCAGTGAGGTGCATCCAGTCGGGAGTGAGGATGGATTTCCCACGAATTGGTAGAATTCCGAATTGATCGGCTGGCCGTTGCGTCCCAGTGGCTGAATGTTCTACGAACTTGCCTTGTAACCGGATGGTCCTAGGTTCGAACCCTGTTAGTGGTGGGTGCGTACTGTCGATGAGTCCCAGACTAGGTTGGCGAAACAGCTGTCCAGTACTCCTTGCTGGTTTTCAACGGTTCTGTAACTGATATCAATCCGTGGTCAAGCTTGAAAAATGAATACGTAGTCAATCACAGTTGTTTTTTTTGTGCAGACGACTTTCCAATGAAGAGTATACTTGTACATGTAACTTATGCTTGTGTGGTGGATAAATAAGGTTTCAATAAGCACTTGTTTCATCCAATATTTTGTTGTATTGGTTGTTATAACTGAGTTGTATGTGTGTGTGTAAACTTTCTTCAACCTTCGTTTTAAACTTCATCCACTGTGCTCTGGACAACCAGGGTGGGATTTTTAAATCTTGAAATATAATGCGTATATAATTCATTGCGTCAAAACCCTACCCAGTTTCGCGGAACAGATTTCCTATGTACCAGACGGCTATGAGTCATATCTCATTTTGTGAAGGTCGGTGTTGCTGCTGCTACTACTTCTATAAATACCCAGTTGCCAGACTGAGATAGGGGTATTACCGTTTTCCTTTGTTTTGTCATCTACCGCATGGAATTTCCTCCCCTCCCTCCCCCACATACACACATTTTGTCTCATATATATTATGTTTCATTGTATTGTATTGTATTGCTAAAATTATGTTAACTGACAAATAAGCATTACCGAGGACGACCACTTTTGTTATGCATAGTCAGTGTAGATAGCTGGTTTGTTCCTTTTTTTTTCTTACGACAGTTTAAATTCTGATTAAATTCATAGTTGTTTTTTTCCCCAGTCTTTTGAATGATATTGAAAGATTCCCCGTTGTAAAACTAGTTAGCATTGAATTCATTGTAAGGTGAATCGATTAAAATACTTTTAAAGTGGACAAAACGTTGTACCACAACTGGATATGATGATTATTATAACATTTATGTGAGCGTGTAATACAAAATTAACATGAGATCAATTACCCGATCAAATATAGTATGAGTAATTGATGTCATCATCGAATAAAGCATAGAATGGCAGTCAAACCTGTAGCTTCATTTTATCGACTTCGAAAAGGCCTTCGACAGACAGCGTTGACCGAGAAGTAATTTGGAAACTAATTCAACATTACGGCGTGCAGTACCCCAAATCTTTATCAACCTCATTCAACTGTTAGTTGTATGACAATACCATGTGTCAGGTGATCCACAATGGAAAACACAGTGGGGCGTTTGAAGTGAATGCAGGAGTAAAAGAAGGCTGCTTAACTATTATCACCGATGATATTCCTTACTTCATTCAAATCCGTACAAACCAATACTTAAATATCAATGAGCTGCTCACTAGCGACTGACCCTATTCAGGTAGGTAGTTACCTGGAGTTCTAGTGAGAAGCTGTAACCAGTGGGGCATAACAGTTCAGGTGTGAGGACAAATACTCGCCAGCGATGACATTGGCTAGTGTCATTGTCATGCGTGAATTGGCAGAAGTTGGAATTCATGCACTGGCCATTGGATTGGGTCCCAGTGGCTTAATGGTCTACGAGCTCTCTAGCCTTGTAACCAGAAGGTCCTGGCTTCGAACCCTGTCGGTGGGTGCGTACCGATGAAGAGTGCCATATTAGGACGAAACAGCTGTCCAGTACTCCCTGCTGGTTTTCCAGTGGTTATCTAACTGATGTCAGCTCATGATGAAATCCTGTAACCAATCAATCAAATCCCTACAAACCAATGCTTCAATAATATTATCGGTATTACCTGCGTTATCTCAGCTTCACATCAATTTGATATGGCTATGAAATAAAAGATAAGTCTATTGATGTTTAAGGGTTCGATAATGGAGCTAAATTTCGGTATGCGTTGATATGATCAGGATGAATAATAATAATGCTGACCAGGGTTCGGTACAGCAGGGCAAGATTAAATATTCTGAAGATATAATACCATCACTAATTTCTAATCACCTCTGTGTCTCCCAGAGCCCAGTCAAATCAAGGCACAAGATAGGCTGATCTATGGTTGTGAGACAGTGATCGGTTTTTATTACTATTATCGGCATTACATTATCTACAAGTACTACGTACCTCGCGTAAAGTTAAGCCAACATAAATATAAATATTCTCTGCTTCTGAACTAATCTAGTATTCATATAACGAGTCAAGGATAAATTACAATAGATGGCCTCATCAAAGTGTGTCTATGACTTCAACTGCTCATATGGAGCTAGTTACACTGTCCGTACTCAGAGGGCTTTTATCCTTGCACGCGCGTGTGAACATGTACCTGTATGGTTGAGTGAAGAGGTAACTAAATGCGTGAATACTGCCGGTCTTAGCCCACTTGGTAGACACTCTGGACACTCGATAAAACTTGATCAGGCGTTCTCAGTTATTTACCGCCTTCCTGGTAATCTATCTAGAAGAGTTCGACTGCATTTTCTGTCAGTAGCTGAAGCGGTAGCCAGTAATACCAGAAGACTGGGTCTTTGTATACAGAAGAAGTGTGTTCAACCGCTACGTTTACTGTGTCCTACAATAAGGCCAACAAATCCTCCATAAACACTAGCACTTTAAATTCCTATCGCATTTGTTTTGCCTTTTCTTCTTTTCCTTTGTTTCATTGACAAACGTTCATTTTTGACCTTTCTTATGCTATCTATTACCTTAGGTTTAAATAATTCTTTTCTAACTTCTTATCATATT